GTCTAATTTTCTGCAAATATTGATGATAATTGATAATTAATTTAATACTTTTTTGAAGAATATAATAAAACTAGAGGCCCAGTGCACAAAATTTATGCATGGGGCGGGGTGGTGTCCCTCAGCCCAGCCTGCACCCTCTCCAATCTGGGACTCCTCAGGCAATGTGCGACTGCTGGTTTAGGCCCGATCCCACAGGCAGTCAGACATCCCTCTCACAATCCAGGACTGCTGGCTCCCAACTGCTCACCCACCTGCCTGCCTGGTTGCCCCTAACTGCTTCTGCCTGCCAGCCTGATCATCCCCTAACCATTCCCCTGCCAGCCTGATTGACGCCTAACTGCTCCCCTGATGGCCTAGTTGCCCCCAACTGCCCTCCCCTGCCAGCCTGGTCACCCTAACAGCCCTCCCCTACAGGTCTGGTCGCCCCAAACTGCCCTCCCCTGCAGGCCTGGTCGCCCCCAACTGCCCTTCTGTGCAGTCCTGGTCCCCTCCAAATACCCTCCCCTGCAGGCCTGGTTGCCCCTAACTGCCCTCACCTGCTGGCCTGATCGGCCCACAACTGCTCTCCCCTGCAGGCCATCTTGTGGCTGTGGGCACTGCCATCTTTGAGGGCGTGACAGTCAATTATCATATTCCCTCCTTATTGGCTGTGGGCACTGCCATCTTTGTGATGGTGTGAGGGTGAATTAGCATATTCCCTCTTTATAAGATAGGATAAGGTTACAATATTCTGTTTCATTTATACCAGCTTTTATCCATGCTTAATAAAAACGAAGCTTGGGCCCTAGCTGGTTTGGCTCAGTGGATAGATCATCAGCCTGTAGACTGAAGGATCCCAGGTTCAAGGGCACATGCTTGGGTTGCGGGCTCAATCCCTAGTGGGGGGTGTGCAGGAGGCAGCCAATTGATGAGTCTCTCTTCGTTGATGTTTCTATCTCTCTCTCCCTTCTTCTCTGAAATAAAAATATATATATTTTTAAAAGCTTGGGAAATAATACCATGTTTTTTCAAGACATCTGCTCACTAGGTGAGAAAAATATTAATAATTATGATAATAATAATAGCTAGCTATTAATAAGCACCGTAAGTCTTTTCAGTGATTTATCTCATTGAATTAGTATACTGATATATATCACCTACTGGAAAAAAGACACACATATGATTTTGAATCCTAAGAAGTTGATTCTAAGAATAAGAAGGGTACATGAGGAAGACATTGTGATTGCCCCCCAGATGCCTCTTCATTGAAGGACATGTGCCCAAGTTGCTAGGTGGCAGACAGCCTTGCCCTGCGCTCACACCTTTGAGGCATTGCCTCAATCATCCTTCAGCTGTCAGCCAACCCCTTCAGAAATTGTCTCAGAAACATGCATTGGTTGATTCTTGTGTGCTCAGACTGGAGATCAAACCCACAATCTCAGAATATGGGGGCAATGCACTAATCAAATGAGCTTCCCTGTCAGGGCTATTTGTTTTTATTCTTAAAAAATAACCCCAATTATGTTGCTTATGTACTTATAGATTATCCCAAGTGGTTTAAGACACACACACACACACACACACACACACACACACAAAATTTTTTTGAGAGGAAATAGAACCAAGTCTACTAAAACATGTATCTAAGAGAGTTTTATATTTCATTCTTCAACATGTAAAGGTAGAGATTTTTGGTCACTTGTTTTCTTCATTATTCCTTTTTTAAAAAATATACTTTATTGATTTTTTACAGAGAGAAAGGAAGAGGGATAGAGTTAGAAACATCGATAAGAGAGAAACATTGATCAGATGCTTCCTGCACACTTCCTACTGGGTATGTGCCCACAACCAAGATACATGCCCTTAACCAGAATCGAACCTGTGACCCTTGAGTCCACAGACCAATGCTCTATCCACTGAGCTAAACCGGTTAGGACTCCTTTTTTATTTTTTAAGTGGGACAAAAAAAATTTGTCTCTGCCTACTCACAGTTTTCTACATGTGAGTGGGATAACACTTTGCACCATTAGGTTTTTTTCTAACATAGCCCGTTATAATTTTGAATTATTCTTTTTTTCAATAGTAGAGTTCTATTTCTTTTCAAAGAATTATGACTGCTAATCCAACAAACTCAATTATGCCTAGCAAAATTCCATTATCTCATATCCCAAGGGATACCAGTGAGCTCCACTCCTCCTACCCCCACCCCCAACCAGGATACACAAGAACTCTTAAAGCAGTTCCACATGAATGTCTGCCTCTCCCTTGTGTCCTCCATGGCTGGGAATCACCTCTTTGAAAAACACATGCCATGCTGAATGTGCATTTTTCAGTAAATTGTGACCTGTTTTCTGGCTGGTATCTGTGCTCCACATTCAACTAACCCTTTGGCCAAATTCACACCCACATATTTTGGACATTCTTCTGGCCTAAATCTGCTCTCAGAGCATCTATTCTGTGCAAAGGACTAATGAAAATTTAAAAATCTGTGTGCAGGTCAGCAGCCAGTCTAGTGACTACGCATCCTCCTTCTGATGCTTGATCAGCCCACAAAATGTCTGAGATAACTAGATATCAGCCACATGGAGTTTATACCTTACTGTAAATCTTAAAACTTTTATAGATGGAAAGGCAGAAAAAAAATTAGAGAACATTTTCTTTCTTTCTGTTTCAGTTCTTGACCATTTGATAACCTCTTATGGTTTTTAATATTAAACTCTTAAAGAAAGTCTTTTCTTTAGGATGTGCTATTATAATCAATAGTCTACAAAAAGTTTAGGGTTTTTTTTTTCCACAAGCAGAAAAAAAAAATAAGAAAAATATATTTTTAAATCTCAAAATTAAGGGAAATAAAAGCTTATGTACATTTTCCTTTACCCAGAACTCTTTCTTTTCCTCTTTTTTTCTGTGTCACCTCTAGAAAAAAAAATCCATAAAAGTAACCAATTCTGGAAGTGGAACCTAACACATATTTAAGGAAAATGTATTTTTAAAATATAGTGTTGGTATATCTTGTTTTTTAATTAATGCCATGTAGAAACAGAAAACTGAAGAGTGATTACTAGACATTATTCTCAAATAAAATCTCCCAAGTTATGCTATAGAAATCTTCAGCCAAATTTCCCTCTTGTGTACAGAGTTAAATGGTCATAAAGATGACTAATAAAGTCTCACGTAGTTTTGCCAAAGGAGATAAGTTTAGGAATATAGAGAGGGAACTACTCTTTTTGCAAACGAAGGTGTAACATTTGTCTCTACCCTTCTGCTATTCCAGAACCATTTGCCACCCAGGCAGGAAGGAGACAACACCTTCAGATATCCTGCAGTACAATTCTGCGAGTTCTTTTAACCAAAACAATGAGAACACTCTGTTCTGGCCACCTGGTGTTATAGCCATCTCTCTAAATGTCCCGTTGGTGACCTTGACTAGTTAGTTGTCCTTTCACAGCACTCTGTGCTTAAAGTAGTTACTATAATTGCTTCTGATTCTCCCTTCCAGTCTGTGCAAACAGAATTGAGTTTCCTCCCCACTGCTTCATCTCGTATGCTTAGGGAGGCAAGAATAGAACCTAAGAACTGATCAATAAATGTGGCAGGGGTGACAGTGAAACTACTGTGGAATTCTTGGTTCCTAACACCTGCCAGTAAGGATAGAACTGTGTAAAAAAGCAATTTCAACTCTAATGCATCCCTAGCATTGGCCAAAGACATGGTGAAAGTAATGCTACAAAG